ATTACAAGCATGAGCCACTGCGCCTGTTCCCGAATTTGGGGTTTTTTATATGTTCTCTGTCTGTAAAGAACTTTATGTACGTATGGAGTCCACTATAATAATTGATTTAATGTTCTTACCGACTAATTCTAACTTCTGGGCCAATTTCAGTTGAATGATTTTTATCCTCATGTGCCCTGTTTTCCTGCTTTTTACTTATTTGGTGATTTTTTTATTGGACACTAGACAGTGTCAGCATTACCTTGTCAGGTGCTGGTTATTTTTGTACACCTGTAAATATTCTTGAGCTTTGTTTAAGAATGCAGTCATGTCACTTGGAAGCAACTTGATCCTTTGAGGTTTCGCTTTTAAGATTTCTCAGGTGGGGCCAGAGCAGTGTTTTTGGGGATGATTATTCCCCACAGCTGATAAAAGACCCTTCCCAGTGCTCTACACAATGTTCCTTCAATAATGAGGTTTTTCTGATAGGAGCAGCAAATTCGGGCGCTGTTTCCTCCAATCCCTTCAGGTGGTTCTTTCCCTGGCATTCTAGTCATCCAGGCTGCGATAACAGAGTACTGTGGACTGGTGACTCAAAAAGAACAAACACGGCCGGGAACAGTGGCTCACACCTGTAATCCCAACACAGCCGTCATCTCCCACTTTGGGAGGCCGAGGTGGGTGGATCACCTGAGGTCGGGAGTTCTAGACCAGCCTGACCAACATGGAGAAACCCCATCTCTACTAAAAATACAAAAAATTAGCCAGGCGTGGTGGCACATGCCTGTAATCCCAGCTACTTGGGAGGCTGAGGCAGGAGAATCGTTTGAACCCAGGAGGTAGGGGTTGTGATGAGCCAAGATGGCACCACTGCACTCGAGCCTGGGCAACAAAAGCAAAATTCTGTCTCAAAAAAAAACACACAAAAAACAAACAAACAACACTGATTTCTCACAGTTCTGGAGGCTGGAAGTCTAAGATCAGGGCACTGGTATCTGAGGAGGGCCCAGTTCCTGGTTCATAGACAGCACCTTCTAGCTGTGCCCCTGCGTGGTGGAAGGGGTGGATGAGCTCCCTTGGGCCTTGCCTATAAGGACACTAATCCGTTTCTTAACAGCCCCACCCTTCCAAGTAACATAATTGCACTTTTTTTTTTTTTTTTTTGAGACAGAGTCTTTGCTTTGTCACCCAGGCTGCAGTGCAGTGCCGAGATCTCAGCTCACTGCAAACTCTCCCTCCTGTTTCAAGCAATTCTGCTTCACCACCCAAGATGAAGACATATCAGCTCCAAGCAGAGAGGAGAGAGCTATAAAGAGAGAGAACTCGGGGGATGCACAGCGGTTCCCCTACCTTGGGTTTTCAGTGGAGTAGATCAGCACATGTGGGTGAGGAAACTGCCCAAGGCCAGGGGCCATGCCCTGCACGTGTCTGTGACTGCCAAGATTCATGTAATGAATTCCCCGCCTCCAATGTAATTGCATTTGGAAGTGTAGCCTTCAGGAAGTGATTAGGTTATGAGGGTGGTGAGATCCCAGCTCACCGCAACCTCCACCTCCCAGGTTCAAGCAATTCTCCTGCCTCAGCCTCCCAAGTAGCTGGGATTACAGGCACCCAACACCATGCCTGGCTAATTTTTTGTATTTGTAGTAGAGACGGGCTTTCATCGTGTTGGCCAGGCTGGTCTCAAACTCCTGACCTCAGGGAGGCCCACCTCAGCCTCCCAAAGTGCTGGGATTACAGGCAAGAGCCACTGCGCCCGGCCAACTTCTTGATGAAAGATCATGCCCAGGCCAGGCTCATTGGCATTGGAGATCAAGCAGCCTGAATCTCAACGATGCCTGTGCTTGGGAAGTGGGCTCAGGGGCACTAGAGGGCAGTGTGTGAGAGGAAAGGAGTCAGCCTAGCAGCAGGCCGAGCCCTGGGGCAGACAGCCCCCATGGTCAGAAGAAAGCGGGTGAACACGTGTGGCCCCCAGAACCCCTCCGAGATGGCAGCTGATTTTTATTCCCCACCCTCAGGCCCTCACAGCCAAAGTTGCCTCTGAACGCTCCTTGCAGAGCACAAGATAGAAATGATTGACAGGCCCAGAGCAGGGGCAGGCCTCAGGCTGGACAATAGCATCTGGCCCTGTGGGTCATCCAGCACCAACCCAAGCCCCTCAGAGCCAGGTGTGGGTTGGGATTCAGGATTCTTCAGCGTGTCAAAGGCAATGTGCCCTCTATTCCCAGGGCACACAGCACCCTCAGAGACCCGCACAGCAGAGTTCCACCACCTCGTTAACATATCTGCAGAGAAGTATGTGAACATTCACACCGGGCAGGGTCAGTAACGTGGGTTAAGTCATTTCCCACCAAGGCAGGTCAGCTTTTCCTGACCAATGAGCTTGGGGATGGCTTGACTTCAGAGCTCTTTGGATCTGTGGATTTTGGAATTTTGGATTTCTGATCTGTGATACCCATTTGATGGATGAGGCAACCAAGATCTAACGGGTCAAGTGACTTTCCCACATCTGTGAGGGCCATGAGAAGCAGGACCAGGATAGTGGCCCAGGAGTGTCTTGAATGCAAAGCTGGGCCAGGCGCGGTGGCTCATGCCTGTAACCCCAGCACTTTGGGAGGCTGAGGCGGGCGGATCACGAGGTCAAGAGATCGAGACCATCCTGACCAACATGGTGAAACCCCGTCTCCACTAAAAATACAAAAATTAGCTGGGCATGGTGGTGCGTGCCTGTAGTCCCAGCTACTCGGGAGGCTGAGGCAGGAGAATTGCTTGAACCTAGGAGGCGGAGGTTGCAGTGAGCCGAGATTGTGCCATTGCACTCCAGCCTGGCGCCTGGCAACGGAGCACGACTCTGTCTCAAAAAAAAAAAAAGAATAAGGAAAAATAATGCAAAGCTGGGCGCTTCACTACGTAGGCCCCTCTCCGTTGGTCCACTCTCTGCCACTGCTGTCTGCCACACCCTGCCCTGCCAGGCTTTCCCTCACCCCTCAACCCTGCCAAGAGCGGCTTTCTTCCAGAGATCCCTGCTGTGCCGTGATTTACTGGACTTCTCTATTTCGGGGGTGTTTGTTTTCAGGTTTAGCAGATCAAGGTGGTATCGTTATAATAGGCAGCTCTAAATATAAGTCAGTCTTCAGATGCCTGTGTGTCTTTTTCTGTAAATTGATTCCCAAAAGCAGGACTGCTGGGGCATGGGGCGTAAGCAGTTTTGATCCGATCACATACAAGCACATTTTTTGCAATGGATGGTGGCAGTTCACAGCTGCCGGAGCAGCGTGTGTGAGTGCCTGTCCCTCCACGACCTGCTCGCCCACCCAGGACGTCACCGCTCTTACTAATTTTATTGTATCTGGGTAATGAGAAAGAGTATTTCTCATTCTTTCAAACTGCAGTTCCCAACTATTAGAGTTTGAATCTTTTTGTCTGTTTACTGATGCTGGAATTTTTACTTTATTGAATAGTCATCTCAGTTGATTACATTTAAATGGGTTGTCTTTTTCTTTTCTCTTCTTTCTTTTTTTTTTTTTTTTGAGACGGAGTTTCACTCTTGTTACCCAGGCTGGAGTGCAATGGTGCGATCTCGGCTCACCGCAACCTCCGCCTCCTGGGTTCAGGCAATTCTGCCTCAGCCTCCTGAGTAGCTGGGATTACAGGCACGCGCCACCATGCCCAGCTCATTTTTTGTATTTTTAGTAGAGACGGGGTTTCACCATGTTGACCAGGATGGCCTCGATCTCTTGACCTCGTGATCCACCCGCCTTGGCCTCCCAAAGTGCGGGGATTACAGGCTTGAGCCACTGTGCCCAGCCGGGTTGTCTTTTTCTTAGGTTATGTAAGCTTTTGTACATTACATCTGTTTTAAGAATAATCTGTTTCTGCACCATAATTCACACACACACACACACACGCACTCACGCACTGTTCCCCAGTCTATCAGTTTGCCATTTGACTTTATGATATTCTTTTCTATCTACAATTTGTCAAATAAGCCAACTTTTCCTTTCTGCTTTTATGATCTCTTGCTTAAACTCCCTCCCCACTTTCCCTACACAGATGACATACAAACATTCTCCTAATTTCTCTCTCTCTGGGTTTTTTTTTTTTTTGAGATGGAGGCTCGCTTGGTCTCCCAGGTTGCAGTGCAGTGGTGTAACCTCTGCCTCCCGGGTTCAAGCGATTCTCCTGCCTCAGCCTCCCAAGTGGTTGGGGTTACAGGCCTGTGCCACCATGCCTGGCTAATTTTTGTGGGGGTTTTTTGTTGTTTTTTTTTTTTTGTTTTTTAGTATAGATGTAGTTTCACCATGTTGGCCAGGCTGGTCTCAAACTCCTGGCCTCACGGGATCTGCCCAGTGCTGGGATTACAGTCATGAGCCTCTGTAGCCAGCCTCTCTCTGTTTTTTTTTGTCTTTTTTTTTTTTTTCTTTTTAAGAGACAGGGTCTTGGTCTGTTGCCCAGGCTGGAGTGTAGTGGTGCGTTCACAGCTCACTGCAGCCTCCAAATGGGCTCAAGCAAGGAGCCTCAGCCTCTGGGGCTGCTGGAACCACAGGCATGCCCCACCATTCCCACCCTCCTAATTTCTCTTGGAATTCTTCTGTGCCTTTACTCACATACATCCAGATCTTCCATCTTTCTTCTCTATAGAGGTTTTTGGCCAGATGGAGAGCTGATATGTCACTACTGCTGCTAAACCAACCATCCTCACACTGATTTGAAATCTGTCTTCTGTCATGTGTGTACACACACACACACACACACACACTTAGATCTATTTCTAGGCCATCTATTCTGTGCCAGAGATGTCTGTGCCTTCCTGTGTCAGGACACATGTATCACTTTTAGAATCAGAGAAGAAAGGATATTTTTTGTTTTTTCACTTTTTTTTTTTTTTTTTAAAGAACAGTGTCTTTGGAACCCTTGCTGAGCCTGGACAGGCGCAGACACGCCTGGCAGCTGGGAGGATGCCCCAGCCTCGGCCAGGAGGCCTGATCAAGGGAAGGCAGAAATAAGGAGGACCCAGCTGCTTGTAAAATAGTCTTCCCTTTTATTTTAAATCAACCCTTTTCCAAGTTAGTGCCACGAGTTGAGATCAGGAGGTCAGAGCCCACTGGGACGTGGCAGGGGCAGCAGGGGGACTCATGTCCCCCTCCCCTCAGCTCAGTCCCTCCAAGGATGGGACTGGCAGCCGAGGTAAAGGGTTTGAGACTCTCTGCCCCCTCTCCTGCCAGCCCTACACTCCCTAGTCTGCCCCCTCAGCTACTCCCAAGGCCAAGGACAGAGATTGGGGCACAGGGGCCGGGGCAGGGAGGCGGTCCTGTGTGGGCTGTCCGTGGCCAAGAGTGTTAGTGGTCAGAGCCCAGGCAGGCTGAGTTAGTGGGGTCTCCTCCGGCAGCCAGGGAAGGAACTGTAGAGAGAGACAGAGACAGGGCAGTGATGCGGGCTGGAGGGCCTGCAGGGCAGCCACTCAGCTGGAAGCACCCAGCCCATGCCTGGAGGGACACACCCAGCCCATGCCTGGAGCATCGCAGAGGGTGGGAGAGGAGGGCAGAGGCCAGGCTGCAGCAGCTGGGGGTGTCCCTTGGAAGCTCACCGAAGAGGGGAGGCAGGCTCCAGTCCAGCAGGGAGGAGGGGCTCAGATAGACGACTGCCACTGCACAAAACGCTTGGATTCCTGCTAGGAGAGTCAGCGGACAGGAGGGAATGGAGTGGGGATCAACTTTGTACTGTGGGACCCCAGCCCCTCCTCCCTCAGACCCAGCCCCTCCTCCCTCAGACCCAGCCCTTCCTCCCTCAGACCCAGGAGTACAGACCCCAGCCCCTCCTCCCTCAGACCCAGGAGTACAGACCCCAGCCCCTCCTCCCTCAGACCCAGGAGTCCAGACCCCAGTCCTCCTCCCTCAGACCCAGGAGTCCAGACCCCAGGCTATCCTCCCTCAGACCCGGGAGTCCAGTACCCCAGCCCTTCCTCCCTCAGACCCAGCCCCTCCTCCCTCAGACCCAGGAGTCCATTACCTGAGGGTTGAAAGGGTCATCATCATCTGTGTCATCGTAGTCGTCACTGGGGTTTGATGCGGGGCATGGCAGAGAGGTGGGATGGGGGACCCATCAGGAGGCTGCACCCCCCCCAACCGTGGTCCCCAGGTGCTGCCCTCCTCTTCCCTCCCTAGGAGCCTGCCTTTCCCCACTCCTGACCTGGGTGGGAAGAGGGCCCAGGCTTGGGGCAGGCTGCAGAGGGCAGTGGCCAGCGCTCCCGCGGACAGCAGGGAGAAGAGCAGCAGGAACAGCAGGCCTTCCAGGGCATCCTCACACAGGCCCCGCAGGGCTGCGCCATAGTCCTGAGGGGAGGGCGTCATCGGGCAGTGCCCCCCACACCCCCACCGCCAGCACACACCAGTCTGTCCTCCCAGCTGTGGTACTGCACAAGCCAGTTGACCTCTCTGTGCCTCAGTTTCCCCTGTCTAAGGGCAGTTCTGCGAATACAGTGGGGTCATCGGTGTGATGGTTCTGGCACCCAGGAATTAATTGCGCAGGCTCCAGGCTCGGTTTCTCCTGAGCTGCACCCCACCCCCGTGTTATTGCAGGCCCCTATCTCCCTTTGACAGGGGCCCTCCTCCCACAGCACCCCACATCTGGAACCAGTCTAGTACCTCCCACCAGCCCTGTGCCCTCTCCCCATCCGCATCCACCCAGGAACCTGAGAACTGACACTCCCCTTTCCTTCTCCCTCCCAGCAGCAGCATCCCCTGCAAGGGCATCCTCCCGGGGGCACTCAGTGCCTGCTGGCCAGCTACCACCAGCTCCGCCTCGGTCCAGGGGCAAAGGTTTCACAATCTGGGCCCTGCTGACGTTTTGAGCCAGCTCATTCTCTGTGGTGAGGGCACCGCCCTGTGTACTGAGCAGCAGCTCCACCTGCCAGATGCTAGGAGCACCCCCTCCTGCCGTGTGACAACCAGCAGCTCCACCCGCCAGATGCCAGGAGCACCCCCCCCCCACTGTGTGACAACCCGCAGCACCTCAGCCACGGCCAGCTGTCCTTGGGGAGTAGAATCGCAGGCCTAGAGCACATGGAACAGCACGCAGAACCAACCGGTGGCTCAGAATGATGCCTCACACACAATACACACTCCACGTGCCACAAATGCTAGCTCTGATGACGGTCGTCCCAAGAAGTCAGCAGAAATGGCCTTCGCCGAGTGCCCAGCACTGGCACAGACTAACTAACTCAATTCACAGCTCCGACCCGGGCACCGCCCCCAGTCCCAGGACCGAGAAGGCCATCCCAGATGGTGGTGTGCTGACAAGGTAGGAGGGTGGGGGGCAGTGCAGGGCAGGGGTAGGCCGGGTGACCCCACAGCAGGGATGAGTCCCCCAGGAAGGAGCCAGGGAGAGGGCTGTGTGGAGGAAGCCGGGAGGGGCTGAAGCCAGAGGCAGACATATTCAGGACTGACCACCCAGGCCCTTGTAGGTCAGGGCAAGGAGCAGGGATTTTAATCCGTGTGCAGGGGGAATCGCTGAGGGTTTTAAGCAGAGGAAGAACATGATCGGATTGTGTTTTAAAAGGATCACCCAGTTGGTTGGCTGTTGCATGGAGGACAGACAGGAGTAGGCAGGCGGGGGGCAGGGAGGAGGCCCCTGCAGTCAGGAGGCAGGTGGCTAGGATGCACGGACCAGGGCACAGGGGAAGTGGCAGAAACAGTGGTGGGTGTCCAGATAGGTTTCAGAGGAGGGGCCAACAGAACTTGCTTTGGGAATGGTTGTGGGAGGTAAGAGCAGGGAGCAGAAAGGATACCCCTGAGTTTCTGGCAGGAATACCTGGTTGAGGTGGGGTGTCTGTTACTGAGCCAGTGAGGTTGGGGATAGGGACCTGTTGGGGCAATGGAGGCTCTTTTTTTTTTTTTTTTTTTTTCTCCTGGGGCAGAGTTTTGCTCTTGTTGCCCAGACTGGAGTGCAATGCCGTGATCTCGGCTCACCGCTACCTCCATTTCCCGAGTTCAAGCAATTCTCCTGCCTCAGCCTCCTGAGTAGCTGGAATTATAGGCATGCACCACCACGCCCAGCTAATTTTGTATTTTTAGTAGAGATGGGGTTTCACTGTGTTGGTCAGGCTGGACTCGAATTCCTGACCTCAGGTGATCCGCCAGCCTCGACCTCCCAAAGTGCTGGGATTACAGGAGTGAGCCACCACGCCCTGCCTTGGAAGCTCTGTTTTGAGTGTATTGTTACAAGCACAATGTCCTTCATACTCACAACAGCCCTGGAGGCAGACGCTGACCCCTGACCCCCTCACACTGCCGCCTTCTGCAATGGTGGAAAGAAGAAGCCCAGAGACGGCAAGCTACTTGCCCAGAGTCACACTGCCAGGGAGGGGCAGAAGCGAGATCGGAGCAGATTCTCTTAGGTTCCAGCGCCCACCTTCCTTCCTCCTCATCCTGGATGTCCCTTATTGTTGATTTTCTTTTTTTTTAATTTTAAAATAGAGTTGGGGTTTCACCATGTTAGTCAGGCTCAAGGAGTTTTGATCTGCCTGACTGGAGCTCCCAAAGCGCTGGGATTACAGGTACCAGACACCCATGCCTGCCTCCCCCCAACACACTTATTTTTTTGAGACGAACTTTCGCTCTATTGCCCAGGCTGGAGAGCAGTGGCACAATGTCAGCTCACTGCAACCTCTGTGCCTCCAGGGTTCAAGTGATTCTCATGCCTCAGCCTCCTGAGTAGCTGTGAATACAGGCACATGCCACCACGCCCCACTAGTTTTTCTTTTTTTTGTATTTTCAGTAGAGACAGGATTTCCCCATGTTTTCCAGGCTAGTCTTGAACTCCTGACCTCAGGTGATCCACCCACCTTGGTCTCCCAAAGTGCTGGGATTACAGGTGTGAGCCACCACTCCGGGCCTGGTCCCTTATTCATTTTAATCTGTGAAGACCCTGACACCCTGACAGGGAAGATGGAGGCCCAGGGTCACCTGGTACAGCGGTTGGGGAGGGTGGAGTGATCTGTCTTCCTCTTTCCCTTCCCTCCCTCAACAAAGGAGTCTGGGACCCATATTCCAGCCCAGTCTCTACCTAGGCCACAGAAAAGTGCCTGGACCCCAATTTATCCTTATGCAAAAGATCAGGGCAGCCCTGAGGGGGGGTTCCCCAGCCTTTCTCAGCTCAATAGTCAGCAATTCTGATCATTGATTTAGTGCTTGCTCCCCACTCCCTTTTTGGAATTCTGGTTTCAGAAGACTGGGGGGCAGTGGGAGCCACAGAAGGGACCTGTCTGAGCCTGACCAGGAAAAGCTCAGGTCCATGCTATGGTGTAGATGAACCCCTCTTGGCTAGGACTGCCAGATCAAATTCAGGACTTCCAGTAAATTCGAAATCACACACCCAATACATGATTTTCCAGAATCAGTATCTCCCCAGCAATGCACTGGGCATACTTACAGCAAAGAGTGGCTTGCTGTTTGCTGAATCTGGCCCTATTCTAGGGTCAATGTGGGGACAGACGGAGGGGGCCGTGCTTCCTCCTCTTGGGAGAGAATGAGGCCTCAGCGGCAACAGGGCCACTGGGCATGGAGGGTAGATGGACAGAGACATTCCAGAAGCAGAAGGGACAAGACTGGGCCCTCTGGAAGGTCCCTGTCTCCTTAATGTGCACAGGCTGGCCGTGTGACCTAGGGAAAGTCCGTCAACTCTGCACCTCACTTCAGTCTGTTATGTGGGATAATCATAGCCCCTCCTTCACAGCACTGTTATGAGGGGTCAGTGAATTACCACCTGTGAAACACAACAGGGCCAGGTACTCGGTGCAGCTATGCACATGAGAGGTCTTTGATGGGAAGACCGGCTAGGGAAAGGCATCCTCAGGTGTGTGTTTTAGAGCATCTCCTACTGGTTTTGTTTGTGTTTGAGACAGAGTCTCACTCTATTGCCCAGGCTGGAGTGCAGTGGTACGATCTCGACTCACTGCAACCTCTGCCTCCCAGGTTCAAGTGATTCTCCTGCCTCCTGAGTAGCTGGGATTACAGTCGCCCACCACCACAACTGGCTAATTTTTTGTACTTTTAGTAGAGACGGGGTTTCACCATGTTGGCCAGGCTGGTCTGGAATTCCTGACCTCAGGTGATCCACCTGCCTCTGCCTCCCAAAGTGCTGGGATTACAGGTGTGAGCCTCCGTGCCCGGCCAGCTCCTGCTGTTTTATAAGGGGATTTTTTTTAAGCCTTACAACCATCCAGTAAAAAAAAAAAACTCCTCCTTCTTCATGGTATGGTCAGAAACAGAGTCGGCCATGCTCACCCACCCGTGGCCATGCAGTCTGCGGCAGAGCCCAAGCTGGAGTCTGCAGGACACCAGATATCTTTCCTCCCGGGTGCCCCGTCTGCCCCTGCCCGTCCAGTGTATGAACAGCACATGACATAAGGGAGCTGGACAGGTGCCCATTCTTGCAATGCAACCCCAGCTTCTTCTTTTTTTTTTTTTTTAGACAGAGTCTTGCTCTGTCACCCAGGCTGGAGTGCAATGGTATAATCTTGGCTCACTACAACCTCAACTTCCCAGGTTCAGGCAATTCTCCTGCCTCAGCCTCCTGATTAGCTGAGATTACAGGCACGTGCCACCATGCCCACTAATTTTTTGTATTTTTCGTAGAGATGGGGTTTCACCATGTTGGCCAGGCTGGTCTCGAACTCCTGACCTCAGGTGATCCACCCGCCTTGGCCTCCCAGAGTGCTGGGATTACAGGCCTGAGCCACCGCGCCTGGCCACAATCTCAGTTTCATAAGTGAGGGAACTAACAGGTACAGAGAAGTGAGGTGCCTTGCACTTGGTCAAGAGCTAGGACTGGAACCCAGGCAGTCTTGCTCCAGAAGTCACTGAGCAGCAGCCACTAGGAGAGAGGGAGGGAAAGGGAGGAGGACGGAGAGAGGAGAGAAGACAAGGAAGGAAAAGTGGCAGAAATGGATGGGAGGGTGGGATGGGGAGCCGGGGGAAGTGCGGGAGCTGGGGGGGGGAAGGGAAGGAGGAGGGGAGGAATATGGGTGGAGCATGATAGAGGACAGGTTATAAATAGATAGATAATAGATATAGGATTGATAAGTAATATAAACAGAATACAGAGATATCCTCAGGCGCAATGGCAGAGGTCCAAGGAGAGGAACGACGTAGTTCTATGGGACGAGGCAGAGGCTCCCCGTGGGAGAAGAAATTGGGAAGGGGAAGGGGTTCACCTTGTGCAGGCCGCGGCAGTGCAGCAGTGCCACCAACTGGTGGAAGTTTCCTTCTGTCACATTCAGAGTCTCCTCCAAAGACAAAAGAGGCTTCTGCGGGACAAGGACAGGTCATTTTCCCACCAACTCGTCAGGCCCGCCCATCGCCCTGGCCCCGCCCACAACCCAGGGCCCCGCCCACCGCCGACCCAAGGGTTCCTCGCTGTGGGTCCCACCTATGCCCTACAGCTCCATCCCGCCCCGCCCGCCTTCCCCTGGGGGTCCACGTGTCTGGGGAGCGCCCACCCACCGACCTGCGCTGAAGGGAACTGACGCACAGCTCCTCGCTCCATGCCCAGCAGCTGGGAGTGGATGCTGGCCAGAGCTCGCTGGGACAGAGACAGCCTCTGCGGAAAGAGAAAGGGAGGGAGGAGGACCCAGGAGTCGACGCCCTGACCCTCTCTCCTCTCCTCCGGACACAGCACTCAGGCCCCTGGCCTGCATCCTCCCCGGAACCCAGGAGTCCAGGCCCCAGCCCCAGCCCCAGCCCCGCCCCCTCCCTCGAGAGTCCAGACTTCTGGTTCCCTCAACACCCGTTTCCCTTGCCCGCAGCCCTAACCTGTTGGAAGGGGTTGGAGACGGCCTGGTTGCAGAGGAAATAATAGCTCAGGATGTCTGAAGTGGGAGGAGGAGAGGGGAGGAGGCCATGAGCCTGGGCCACCAGGGACTCCCGGGGGAAGGCCGGGGACTGGGGAGTTAGCAGGGTTCGAGGCCTCAGCCCAGCTCTGGAGCCCGATGGCCTTACCTTCAGAGACCTGCCAGTCCCGTGTCCCTTCTGCTCCTGCCACAGCCTCCATGGGAACCCCTGACTAAATGGCACTCCCCAATTTTCTCAGGGGGCCAAATCCCCACTCCTGACGCCCAGGAACATCCTCTCCTGACCCTCCTCTCTCCCTGCCCACCAGGAGAGGTGCTGCCAGCTGGAGCAGAAGGAATGAGGGGCTGGTGGGGGCGGGGCTCCAGGAGGGCTTTGATGGGCAGTGGCCAGGAGGGTTGGGTCTCGCCTGGCAGGCTGCACCCCCATCCCACCGCGGGTAGGACCGGGCACAGAAGAGGCCTGAGGAAGCCGGGACCTGCACTGCCCAACCTGGCAGACGCACTGGGCCCTTGGAAATCACCTGAGCTGAGCCCTGTCTCCTCCTGGGTCAGGTTCAGAATATAAGGATCTGGATTGGAGCAGAAGTCACTGAGGCCCTGCATGAGGCAGCAGAAAAGGGGCTCAAACCCGAAATTGCCCCAATTCCACACTCCCACTGCACCCAGTGTCTGGGTCACCAGCCTCCCCTCCCCACCCAGGGGTCCAGGTCCCAGTTGCTCCACCCTCAGACTCAGGAATCCAGGCTCCAGCCCCTCCTCTCTCAGACCCGGGGGTCTAGATTCTCCAGCCCTCCTCCCTCAAACTCAGGAGTCTAGGCCTCCGGCTCCTCCACCCTCAGACCTAGGAATCCAGGCTCCAGCCCCCTCCTCCTTGTAGCCCAAGCACCCAGGACACCAACCTGTACCCACTCAGGATCCAGGAAGCCAGCCCTAAACCTCAGAACTGTGATGGTGTCCCCCAGTCCCTCTCTCTACTAAGGTGTGCCACCCCAAGATCCAGAAGTTGAAGCTTCCAGGCTCCCTGAGTCCCAGAGCCCAGTGGCCCGGCCCCAGCACTCACCACGGCCGTGGCGGCTTCCAGGCCCATGGAGCCCCAGCTCAGGACAAGAACCAGGAGACTCATGACTGTCATCCTAGAGTGGGGGAGTGAGAACCAGCCTGGGCTTCTTACTCTCCTCGCCTAGCCTCTTTCCACACCCCAAATCCCACCACAGCCACCCCCCACCCTTCACCCACCTCTGGAGCCTGTAGGATCAAAATTAGGGACAGAGAAGTTCGGTGGGGGCGTGGGCAGTGGCTGCTGACATCCGACTGGACGTCTGGCTCCTGCCCAGATGGGCAGGGTGTGGGGTATGAGCGGGGCCCTGGGCTGGGTGGTCTCAGCTAGGATCCCAGCTCCAGTACCCCAGAAGGGTGACTGCCCACCTCTGGGCTCACTTTCCTGGGGCCCAGGACTTCCCTCAAAGGCTCCCAAATCCACCCACAGCCTGATCAGCCTCTGACTCTGCCCTGAGAATGGGAGACAGTTCCAGGGCTGAACTCTGTCTCTGGACTTTCCAGGTGGGGAGGGCTGCAGGGGGCATGTCAGCACTGGTAGGGTAACCAACAGTCAGGAAGGGCACCCAGGGGTCCCCAAACTGAAGGCCTGGGCTCCAATCCCAGACCTGCCCTGTGGTGGCTACGTTTATCTGTCTGCAAGCCTTAGCAGTGTCTCTCCCCAGTGGCAATGTAGGTACCAGTTCAACTCCACCCTGCCCCACTAGGGGCAGAGAGGATACAGGGACTGCTTCCTCCAATGGGAATGGTCTGCCTGGTTCAAATCCCAGCTCTGGCACTGAGCAAGCAGCCCAACCTTCAGTTCAGCAAGCAGACTGATCTTCAGTCTCTCCCTCTGTTAAACAGGGGGAAAGGCCAGGTGCAGTGGCTCATGCCTATAAACCAGGCAGTTTGGAAGGGTGAGGCAGGAGGATCACTTGAGGCCAGGAATTCAAGACCAGCCTGGGCAACATAGTGAGACCCTATCTCAAAAAAAAAAAAAAAAAAAAAAATCGTATCCGGTTGTGGTGGCATGAGCCTGTGGTCCCTGTGACTCCAGAGGCTGAGGTGGGGGAATTGCTTGAGCCTCGGGGGACCCAGGCTACAGTGGGCCGAGATGGTTGCCACTGCACTCCAGCCTGGGGAACAAAACAAGACCTTCTCGAAATAAAAACAAAACTAAAAATCAGGGAGAAGGAAGCACCTTCCTCACAGGGTTGGCATGAGGCACTCCAGGAAGGTCAGAGAAGAGTATCGGGCTTGTAGAGCAAGCTATAAAATAAGTGTGTGGTCCATGCCAGGCACGGTGGCTCATGTCTGCAATCCCAGCACTTTGGGAGCCCAAGGCGGGCAGATCACCTGAGGTCAGGAGTTCGAGACCAGCCTGACCAATGTGGAGAAACCCTGTCTCTACTAAAAATACAAAATTAGCTGGGCGTGGTGGCGCGTGCCTGTAATCCCAGCTGAGACTCAGGAGGCTGAGGCAGGAGAATTGCTTGAACCCAGGAGGGTTGCAGTGGGCCAAGTTTGCTCCCTTGCACTTCAGCTTGGGCAACAAGAGTGAAACTCCATCTCAAAAAAAAAAAGTATGGTCCTGTGGCTCTGCCATGACACATAAGGGCCGCTCAGCCTTGGACTCGGCGACCCTCTGCCTCAGGTCCCTGACCTGCCACGTGGACCTTTACGACAACTCCTTCATGGAGTGGAGGCAACTGAAGGAATCAGCGTGCATGGCCCTCAACAGACCGTCATCCTCATCTTGATTGCAAACACGATGATTATTTCTTTTTTTTGTTGTTTGTTTGATTATTTTTTGAGACGGAGTTTCGCTCTTGTTACCCAGGCTGGAGGGCAATGGCGAGATCTCGGCTCACCGCAACCTCCGCCTCCTGGGTTCAGGCAATTCTCCTGCCTCAGCCTCCCGAGTAGCTGGGATTACAGGCACGCGCCACCATGCCCAGCTTATTTTTTGTATTTTTAGTAGAGACGGGGTTTCACCATGTTGACCAGGATGGTCTCGATCTCTTGACCTCGTGATCCACCCACCTCGGCCTCCCAAAGTGCTGGGATTACAGGCGTGAGCCACTGTGCCCAGCAATTTTTTGTATTTTTAGTAGAGACGGGGTTTCACCATGTTGACCAGGATGGTCTCGATCTCTTGACCTCGTGATCCACCCGCCTCGGCCTCCCAAAGTGCTGGGATTATAGGCACGAGCCACCGCGCCCGGCCATGAGTATTTCTTGAATGATCCCAGCATACTTCACACCTCGCGGGCCACCTGCTGTCAGGCCCATCCTGGCCTTCCTCATGAGCTGTCCTAACTCGCTTTTTCTGGTGTGAACCACAGTCCTCCACGTAGGAGTTGTGAGACTGAGGTCCTGCAGGCCCAGAGAATGCCAGGCAAGCACCGGGGACCCCCACAGCACCAGGGACCCCCACAGCCTGCACTTACACAATCACCAGCCACTTGCTCTGCTTCGCCAGGCCCAGGAGGGTGAAGAGGCAGACCAGCAGCTCCAGGAGCAGCAGGAGGACATAGGCCAGCCACCTGGGAGGGGAGAGGTTAGGGCTGAAACCCCACTCCTGCCTCCAGGCACCCAGCAACCCCACCAACCTCTCACCACCCTCCAGACTCAGCCTCACACTCAGCCTCCTTCTGTTCACTGTTTCTGAGCCACAGCCCAGCTCATCTGTGAAATGGGTGCATCAGGAGACAGGACGTTGGAGCGGCTTAGAATACAGGTCCTGGCCGGTCGCGGTGGCTCACACCTGTAATCCCAGCACTTTGGGAGGCCAGGCGGGCAGATCACAAGGTCAGGAGATCAAGACCATCCTGGCCAACATGGTGAAACCCCGTCTCTACTAAAAATACAAAAATTAGCTGGGCATGGTGGCGCGTGCCTGTAATCCCAGCTACTTGGGAGGCTGAGGCAGGAGAATCGCTTGAACCTGGGAGGTGGAGGTTGCAGTGAACCAAGATCGCACCACTGCACTCCAGCCTGGGGACAAAGCGAGACTCCATCTCAAAGAAAAAAAAAATGGAATGCAGGTCCTGAGCACCTGGGACTGTGCCCTGCAGCCATGGACACGCGACGTGTCCTCTCTGAGCTCCCCATCCTTGCCCCCGTCCTGCAGAGGGATGTTTGCTCTCAGGCTGCACCAAGGATCCCATCGCATCCCCCGAGGGCATCCTGACAACTGGAGGCAGAGGCTGCCTGGTCTCACCCCAGCCCCTCTGCTTAACTGTGTCTGTTCCTCAGTTTCCCCACCTGTAACATGCGGAGCACAACAGCACTGGCTTGAGAGTGCTGCCGCGAGTGGGATGTGTGGATAGAGTGCTTAAGAGCGTGCCGGGCCCGTGGACACTCTTCGATGTTGGCCTGAGCATGAACAAGGGAACTGAGATATTAATGCTTGGTCGGGTGCAGTGGCTGGTGCCTGCAATCCCAGCACTTTGGGAGGCCGAAGCAGGCTGATCACCTGAGGTCAGGAGTTCGACACCAGTCTGGCCAACATGCTGAAACTCCATTTCTACTAAAAATACAATTAGCCGTGCATGGTGGTGGGCACCTGTAAGCCCCGCTAATCGGGAGGCTGAGGCAAGAGAATCATTTGAACCCGAGGGGCAGAGGTCACAGTGAGCCCTGATGGCGCCACTGCACTCCAGCCTGGGTGACAAGAGTGAGACTCTGTCTCAATTAAAAAAAAAAAAAAAAAAAAAAAAAACTAAAAGAAATTAATACTTAAATATCCTCTAAGGGCCCACCGTGATTCAGAAGGTGCAAGCACCCAGGCCACCACACAGTGCCGGTGCGTAGTAAGTGCTCAGTTAGTCCCGCCGTTCTCTGCAGGCCCCACAAGCTTGAGCTCCCCTCCTTACCCTCACTCTGGCTACTGCCCCCCACCTCGAAAACACCCCCTCCAGTCAGACTCCCTTGGGGGCCCCTGGTTTGTCCATGTGTGGAGGGACTCCCACGTGTGGGTGCTTTCGCAGTGGTGCACCCGGAAGATACATTCTAGGGATGGTGGGTCTGACTCGCCCTGGCGTCACCCTCATGGCTACCCCTACTTTCTGCCCTCCCCCAGGAGGGCAGACCACAACGCAGGACCTCCCCCTGGGTCTGACCACAACGCAGGACCTGGACTTCCTCAGACTGTCTTGCATCTACTGCCCTGCGGGTGTGTCCTCATTTCCAGCTTTTCAGCCCCAGTCTGCCTTCCCCGCTGGAGTGCAGCATCCCAGAGGGTCTCCTAAATCTCAGCCCATGCCCCGAGGCCAGGGTCCCCAGCTGATTTCAGATGAATGAATGAATGAATGAATGATTACTAATGGCCAAAGTGATGAGGACACCATCATGGTGGCCACTGGGAAAGGTGGCTGCCCAGACTCCACACAGCTCGCTCCCTCCCTTCCTCCAAATGCCACCTCCTCAGTCCCCCTGATGAACTGGCAGACTCTGTCCTACCTCACCTCCCTCTGTGGTTCTCTCCAGAGCTCCCATGGCCCGACACCTTACGGACAATGTTTTGCTCTGCGTTTGTCCCTTGCTGGCCCTCACTGGAGGAGGCAGCCTCGAGCGTGGCAGGGATTTCTGCCACTTGCTGCCGGCCCTGCCCCACGGCCTGTGCGGCTGCACTTCACAGGCGCCTCAGCAGTGCTCTCGGTGTGCTAATCACCCGTCTCAGCACTCAGATGCCAACTCAACAATTCACACCAATCCAACAAGGGGCACACTGCCCTGATTCCCATTTCACTGACAGGGAAACCAAGGCAGAGGCCTGCAAAGTAACTTGATTTGGCCATGTGGTTAGGGAGGGGCTGGCTGGGTTTCGAGCTCAGGTTCCCGACCTGTAGTTACGCTGCCTCTTTCACCAGGGGGTGCTAAATAGTGCTGAACAAATACACGTGTCACACGGATGAACGGGTGAGCGAGTGGCCTGCTGGGTTAGTCCAGGAGTGGCTGAATCCAAGAGTGACTTGCTGAATGAGTCAAGGAGTGAAAGCATGCGTGAATAAGTGAGTGGAGTGATCATGGAGGGGGAGAGTGAGTGAATGGGGGAGGACATGTGTGTCAGGATGGGTATGGGGTCCCCTCATCTCCCTCCACAGCAGGGTTTACCGACCTCATCATGTTTATATATACGTATATACACACACACACACACACGCACACAGAGAGGGAGAGAGAGAGATGGAGTCTCACTCTCTCGCCCAGGCTGGAGTGCAATAGCAAAATCTCGGCTCGCTGCAACCTCCACCTCCTGGGTTCAAGCGATCTTCCTGCCTCAGCCTCCCAAGTAGCTGGGATTACCTGTGTACACCACCATGCCCGGCTAATTTTTTGTATTTTTAGTAGAGATAGGGTTTCACCATGTTGTCCAGGCTGGTCTCAAACTCCTGACCTCAAGTGATCCACTCGCCTCTGCCTCCCAAAGTGCTGGGATTACAGGCGTGAGCCGCGGCGCCCGACCCACCTCATCATAACTGACATCGTGGCTGGATCACTCCCTGCCGATGCACAGGGGGTCCTGTGAATTGTAGGGTGTTGAACAGCCCCTGGGCTCTGCCCACTGGATGCCAGCAGTGCACACGCTCCACCCCCACTGTCACAACCAAACTGCCTCCACACATTGCCAACTGTCCCCCCAGGGACTCTGGCTGAGAGCTGCTGGCACAGAGGGCGGGAAGAGCAGCCTCTCACCTGTACTCCTCCATGAAGGACACATCTTCAGCCACCTGCAGGGGGCTCAGGGGCACTCCCTGCCAGAAGGCCAGCCCCTGCAGCTGCTGGGCCACAACCTCCGCCTGCAGCTGAGCCCCCCGGGCAGCAGCCACCAGCTCTGTGCGCGGCTCCAGCACCTCCTCCAGGGTGGTCAGCTCTGTCCTCACTGCCTCACCCAGCCTCTCCACTGTCTCCAACACCTGGGGACAGGGCAGGGTCTGAAGTCTGGGAGGACATCCTGGGGGGAGCCCAGGGTCAAGGAATGGGGTTTTAGAGATGAAGGAGTGCATAGTAGCGGGTGTTTGAGAGCTGGGGTCGGGGACATCTGAGGATTGAGGAAGGGAAGGGGTTGGGGAGGGACTCCAAGGTCAAGCTCATGGAGTTGTGTGGTCTCTATCCAGAGCTCTGGGCGGTTGGCAGCTTGAGCCCAGTGTAGAGAGTCGAGCTCCAGGGCTGAGATTGAGTCTGGAGCCTTATGTCTGAAGTTGGCATCTGCCTTCCAGAATCTGGGGTCTTGAGTCTGGGTCCCACGATCCAGAGTCTGCAGCTGGACATGGAATCTAAGGCCAGGGCCTAGAATCCTGTGGTCGGGGTCAGAGCTGAAGCCTCAAGTCGGGGACTGGGTCTCAGGGCTGGGGTCTCTGAGCTTGCTTTTGCACCAAGAATCAGGTCTGGGGCCCTGGGTCTGGCCTGAGCACAGGGGCTGGTGTCCCTGTGTGGTTTGGGGGTTCCAGGTAAGGTCCGGGGCTGCATCTGGGTCGAGGACCTCAATTTGCCTCCAGGGTAGGGCTTGCGTGGACAGGCTGAGGTCTGTGGGTCTCAGGACGAGGTTTCGAACCTGGGGGTCTTAAGCTTCAAGGGTGGGGTCTTAGCTCTGACTTTGGATCCCTTTGTCCTTGGCTTGTGGGGAGCCTGTTGGGTGTGGATTTGGGGTCCCACTGATTGCCGGCCCCTCACCAGGTGGTCAATGGTGCTGAGTGTGTGGTTGGCATGCAGCAGTGCGGAGCTCAGCTGGGACACCCCGTCACTGGTCTCACTGTTGCCATAGAAACCGATGCCAATGCCAGTGCTGAGAGGAGGAGGAGAGAGGAATCTTAGCGAGTCCCAGGATCCTGGAGGCCACCGTCGCCTCCCACCCCATCCCCTCCACCCCACCTTCCTATCCTCCCCTCCCATCTCTCAGCCCCACCCCATTGGTCCAGCCCGTGGGAAAAGGACGACTCCAGCCTGGCCCCCTCGGTTGCCAAGGTAACGGGAAGGCCTCACTCCCCCAGCAGAGGGACGTCATTGTGATGCTAATGGTGGGTGGAGTGGTGGGGGGGAGGGAGCCCCCGATTTAACTCGCACCTCCCTGGAGCAGAACCCCAGGCACACCCAGCTCCTGGATGGGCCGTCTTCCCCTCCCGATGACTGCCTGCCCCACACCCTCCCCCCCATCCTTTGCCAGGCAGGCAGCCTTCCTGGCACCCGTCCTAAGGTGCCCTTGAGTCCTTGGGCCCTGCATCACGGACTCTCCAGTGCTGAGATGTCCCCCACCCCCACCTCCTGGGGGTTCCTAAGGGTGCGAGGGGGGCAGCTGCCGCCATCTCCTGGGGGGACACTGAGCCTGGAGCTCTCAACCTTCCCCCACCCGGGACCCAAGCGTTTGGCCAGCTGGGAGGGAAGTAAGGGAATGTGGGAGGGAGGCTGGAGGATGGGCCAGAAGCTGTGCCCCCGCCCCGGTCCAGCTAACACACAGAGCTCCATTGTGGGGCCTGAATGTGGGGCCCCAGACCCCTCCCATCCCCGCCCCCGGCCGGTGTCCCGCAGTGGAGGGGGCGGGAGCCCGACACCCTCACAGTTCCCAGCCCCGGCTGGGCCTCCACCCCCGTCCCTCGGGTCGGACGCCCAGTGTCCCCGCCTCATTGTTCAGAGTCCTACAAAGCTCCTCTTGTTCCCAGGCTGCGGGAGCTGGGGCCGTGTCTCTCCCCCACTGGGCCTTTGTCCACCTCCCCTGTCTCCCCCACCCATGCTGGAGAGCCGGAGGAGGAAGCATCCTGGATACAGGGCACCCATACAGGTCCCTCCCCTTGCCTGCTGTGGGTCCGGAGCAGGCCTCTGGCCCTCTGGGACCCCCGGTCTGTGGAGGAGGACAGCCATCTGTAAGCTGTGGGTGCCACCCTGCTGGGGAGGGGGCTGTGCCCAGGGCTTGCTCTTGGTGGGTGCTGTGTTCACCTTGGAAGCCCCCTGAGCTCCCTTTGAAGGGTGTGAGGGGGCTCTGCTAACCTGGGTCTGAATCTCCGTGCTGCCTCTTAAGCCACGTGGCCTTGAAAGGTGACCTGCCCTCTCTCCCTGAGCCTTCCTCTTTGGAAACTGGGCCTGACACCCCTGAATCCAGCAGCGTTATTGTGAGAAGGAATTAGACCAGCGCAGGTTTGGGCACAGATGGGGTGCTTTTGGATGTTGGGTGTCTACTTATCGTCTGTCTCCCTGATTAGAACATAAGCTGCATGAGGGGCTCCTTGACTGGCTTGGTCAGTGTCTGGCACGTGGTAGATACTCAATAAATAGTTGTCGAATGAATGAGCTAGTGAATGAGCACACGATATCAGCAGTTAACACTGACGAGAACAACTGCAAGCAGAAGCTGTGCTTTCCGTCAGTCTCACCACAGCAGGAGGTGGGCGATACCATAATGCCCACTTTACAGATGTGGAAACCGAGGCCCAGGGAGACAATAACTCCCTTAGGTCACACAGCTATTCAGCGTGAGAGCCACCAAAACCAGGCAACCTGACTGACCTTCTCACCAGATGGCTGCCCTTGGGAAATTCTCTTCCTCTCCAGAACCTCACTTTCTCCATCCATCAAATGGGACAGTCCTTCCTGCTGTGGACTGAAGTGGGCTTGCATATGGCAAGGAGAAGGACGAGGGAGTTTCCTCCTTCCTGTGTGCTTCCTCCACACCCCCAGGGGACACTCTTAGGAAGGCCAGCAGAGAGCTTGGAGAGCCCTGTCCCCACTGCCCCCCCACCCTGGGGCCCCATTACCAGCCGACGAGAAGGGCTACAATGCAGCTCCAGGTGACGCAGCCTCCCCCCGGGGTCGGGCTCTTGGACCCGGGGGGCTCGGGGGGCCGGCAGCAGCAGAAGCGGATGAGGTAGACAGCGATGAAAATGAGGCTCAGGCCCAAGCCCAGGCCTGCCAAGGCCGCCACCAGCAACAGGGCCTGGGGAAGGGGGTGACATAAGGCCTCCGAGGGCACCAGCACATTCCATAGTCAGATCCCCCTTCCAGAGTGAAGGTGGGAGGCATCCCTGGCCCAATCTGGGGGGAGATAGGGTCCCAGCCCCTCCCAGGCTGGCAGCTGGGGCCCCAGGTGTCAGGGCCAGCTTGCTGGAGGGAGCTTCCAACGGGGCCCCAAGCCTGCTGTGAACACCCAGTTCTGCTGTGCCCTCCAATGGCTGTGCAACCGTTATCAGGAACCGCCCCTTCTCCCAGCCTGGGTTTCGTTTCACTGCAGCCAGCAGGTGGAATGGGGCATTTCCTGAGGACCTGCCGAGGCCCCTCCACAGTCGTGTGGGATCAGGGGGCGGGGGTGTGGGGGTGCCTGTTCCTGGTGACTAGGGCCAGGCTGGGTAAGGCGAGCCCTCCTGCCCCTCTCCTCCCTGCTCACTGTCTCCCCTGCTGCTGAGCACCACACCCCGCTGCGCCTGAGCTTGTCACCCAGGGACAGGGCGAGGGGCTGTGTGACGGTGTGTGTGTGTGTGTGTGTGTGTGTGTGTGCACGCGCGCAAGCAAGACTCAGAAATGGAGACTGGGAGAGTAAAGACAGAGGAGAGAGAGAGAGATACAGAGGGAGGCACAGCCAGAAAGACAAAACCGAAAAAAAAGACAAAGACAAGAAAAGCTTTGGGGATGAGGCAAAAAGGCAGAGAGCAAAAGGGATCACATCGGAGAAGAGCAGAGTAAGGGAGAGAGCGTGAGAACACGCAGACACACAGAGACAGGAGAGACACACAGGGCAGAGAGGCGGAGAGCGCAAGGCCCGGGAAGACAGGCAGGCAGCAGAAACGTTCTGTGGTGGGGAACGCCCGGAAGAGTAACAGGGCTCTCCTTGTGGGGTGCTTTCACAGCGGACCTGTGCAGTCCTGTCTGCCTGGAGGCCCACGGGGGGCCAGGGGGTTTGCACTGAGCCCCGGAGCATGCAGGAACACCATCAGGACCAGAGTGACACCTGTCAATTGCCAAGGCTGTTTCCCCTAAACCACAGTGATTCTGCCATTGTACGCACACACACACACACACACAGTGGCACAGTGGTGCGTGTGTCCCAAATGTGTGCAGTGTTTCTGGTGTGAGACTGGGTGTTTTATCTTGGGGTTGCCTGCTGTGAGATGAGAGTGCACCTGAGTGTCTGCGGTGAGAACATCTGTGGGCATCTGTGTGTTCTGGGCACAGTCCTTGGGTCTGTGAGTGGGGTTTGGTTGTGTGTAACAGGGTGGATGAGTGTGTGTGTGGATGAGGGACTGCACGTGAATGTGTGTGCGCGCACAAATGAATGTTAGTCAATATATGTGTGTGTATATGTGACTGTGGAGTGTGCGTGTGTGTACAGAAGTATGAACATGTATGTTGTGCATGCATGAGTGTGTGAGCATATGTATATAAATGCAGTATGTGAATATGGGAGTAAGTGCTTATATGTGTGTATGTGAGTCTGTGCAGTGTGTGTGCATATGCGTGTGATTGTGTAAGTGGGTATATCTGAGTGTATGCACGTGTCTGTGTGTTGTATATGGGTGTGAGTGCAGGGTTTGAGTAGTAAATGGGTGTATGTGTGTGTGCATGCGCATGTGTGTGCATGTGTGTGTAACGGGAGTAAGTGGGCATGTGTGTGTGCGTGAGTGTGTACGTGTGTAATGGAGTAAATAGGCATGTGTACATATGCATGTGAGTGTGTAATGAAAGCAAGTGGGCATATGTGTGTGCCTACGCACGTATGTGTGTAATGGGAGTAAGTGTGCGTGTGTGCCTGTGCAGGTGAGTGTGTGCATGCGAGTGTGTAATGGGAGTAAGTGTGCATGTGTGTGCCTGTGCAGGTGAGTGTGTGCATGCGAGTGTGTAATGGGAGTAAGTGTGCGTGTGTGTGCCTGTGCATATGCGGGTGAGTGTGTGTGCCTCCCCGCGGGCCCGTGTCCCAGAGGCCCTGGCTGTGTCTGCAGCTGTGCCCCCGGTGTTCGCGTCCCAGGAGGGGTCCCACTTGCCCTCCGCAGCTATGGGGCTCTGCCTGCAAGTCCCTGCCACCCTGACCCTGACGCCCGACCGTGGGGGCGGAATGAGGCTCCCCCGTGCCTCTGACGGTGACCCGGGCCACGGAACCCCGCGTGCACCTTCGGGAGGTCTTGGGCCGAGCGGGCGTGAGTTTGGGCCGAGGCCAAGGGAGCGGCGGCGTTGGAAGTGGCGGTTGTGTAACCGCGAGGCTGTGGGCGAGGGGACGGCCGTCCCGGTGTGGGGGGAGAGGGGGCGGCGAGGAGCGGGCGGGGAAGAGCTGCTCAGGGCTGTGCCAGCCGTGACCCAAATAGCTCAGAACACAGCACGCATCCCCTCCCCGCTTTTCTGGGACCCCCTCCATGCCCCCTGAGCTCTCCAATCCCAGCCCCCCTTTCCCAGGAGCAACCCAGGACAGAGCCCAGGGAGTCAGGCCCCATCCGCAAGGCTAGGACCCGTCCTGGGGCCCCATCAGGACTCCCAGCCCCCTCACCAGTCCCCAGCTCAGCCAAGCCTTTCTCCTCATTAATCTCAAAGTCAAGGACTTGAATTAAACTGGGTCAGGGGACAGCTCTTCGCCCATTGAAGCTGCCCCGAGCCCGGCCCCTTCCCCAGGGACCCCGGCTTCTGTGAGGTTCCCAGGCCGGCCCCACCCTCAGGACCCGGCTCTGCCAGCCCGTGGCTCCCCAAACGCAGCCTCATCTCGGCCCTCACCCCTGCAGCGCCTGACCACCCCTGCTTTCTTGGGACGGGCTGGACGCTTCCTCTTCCAGCGCCCCTTCATTTTCCAGCCCTGGCCCTCAGCCCCCGAGCCCCCTTCCCCATCTCAGACTCTCAGTTCCATCTCAGCACCCCAGAACGGTTTTCCTCTCCACCGCTATCAGGTCCGCTGTCTCCTGGGTCCCACCTTAACTGGGGCATCTTTTACCTGCTCAGCTCCTGTGGGGCTGGGTCATCTTTTAGAGCAGAGAGTGGACTACTCTCCTGCCGACCCTGGAGGCCGGCTTCCCAGGAAGGTATCACACACCCGGGAATCCGGGCCCCCCCACTCCTCTCCAGGAACTCAGGGGTCCAGGCCCCCAGCCTTCTCTTATTTAGAGAGCTCTAGGTCTGGACCACCGCGTGCGTCCCAGGAGAACCTCCAGGTATGAGCGTCCTGGGCTCCTCCTCCCTCCGCACCCCCAAAGTCCGGGCCGACCCCCCAGCCTCCCGGAGCTCAGGTGACCCAGCTCCTCCCTGGGGACGCAGGAACTCCGGCCCCCCAGCCCTGGCCCCCAGGCCCCGGCGCCGGGTCCCACCTGCTGGTATTCCTGCTCTTGGGGCGCGAAACCGCTGGGCACCGGGCGGAGCTGGAAGTCGGCGCGGGGCAGCTGGTGGAGGAGATGCACCCAAGCCGAGGGCCGGTAGCCCGGGGGCGCCCCCATGGCCCCCGGGGGAGGGGGCAGCGGGGCGGACGCCGGGGCTGCGGAAGCCTCCGGAGTCGAGCGGGGCGCGGGCGGCGCGGGGTCTGGCTGGGCTCAGGGGAGCGGGAGCGGGGGGGAGGCAGGGGGTGGGGGGCGGAGATTGGGGGGAGGCGCGGGCCGGGCGGGGACGGTGCTGCCCCTGGTGGTCGCGGCGGGGACTGCGGGAGTCCAGAGGCCCCAGCGCTCCGCCCCCTTGGTCGCGGCTCCCACCTGCTGCCCGCAGGTACCCGCGCTGCTGTCGGCGGCGGCACCGGAGAGCTGGGCTGCACCGCGACTGGAAACAGCCCTCCCTGTCTATACGAGGCCACTCACACCGTGATTTCACCCCGAGACATAACGATCCCTTCATCTTCACGGACAACCTTCCTGTCTGTATAAAGGTCGCCAGTGAGTAGACAGCCAGTTCCATGGAGACATATTCCTCTGGGTATAGAAGCGCTCTCACCTGCAAAAGATGCCCGTATTTGTGTAAAATCTCCGTCCCACTTTCATTCCTAACCTGGATAAGGACACAGCTTCTAAGCACAAACCTTCCTGTGTCATTGAAAATCCACACACCTGTGTGAGAAGCCTTCTTATCTGCATAAGGACCCCTCTTATCTATTTAGGGACCCTTCTCGTCCTGTAAACGGACCCAGGTTTACTGCAGTGCATACAAGGCACCTCTGCCTCTTGGCATTCACTGTGCAAAGTATTTTTCCAGCCACTACCCGTGTTGCCCCTCTCTGGAACCCTCCGATGCCACACCCATAGACGGGGAAGGGCAGACCCTGGGAGGGGACTTGGCCACCCTGACATCACCATCCAGACTGTCACTATTGGAGCCAAAACTAGGTGCTCAGGAATCTGGCCCCAGGGGTCCCCTCTTGCTGTAGGGCAGGGTGAGACTTTGCCATCTGGAAGCCGCACACAGGCCTCTCTTGTGGGGATGGGGATGAGTGGAAGGAAGAAAGGGAGATGAGTGCTCCACTCACTCTATTTCCAGATTTTGCTCCAGATTGGCAAGAAAGGGCTGGGGAAAAGAAGAATGCTGGCGGTAGTGGAGGCGGTGGGGAGGATAATTATGGTGCTGATTGTGTTGGCGATATGATGTCATGATGATGGTGTTGTCACAATGGTGGTCATGGTGACGACGATGACGATAGTGATGATGGTGATGGTGATAGGTGGTGATGGTAATGATGGTGGTGATGGTAATGATGGTGGTGATGGTGATGTTGATGGTGATGATGGTGGTGATGGTGATGGTGAAGATGATGATGGTGATGGTGATGATGGTGGTGATGGTGTGATGGTGATGATGGTGGTGATGGGATGGTGATGGTGATGGTGATGATGGTGGTGATGGTGGTGATGGTGATGGTGGTGATGGTGATGATGGTGGTGATGGTGATGATGGTGACGATGGTGGTGATGGTGATGATGGTGGTGATGGTGGTGATGGTAATGGTGGTGATGGTGATGGTGATGATGGTGGTGATGGTGATGGTGAAGATGATGATGGTGATGGTGGTGATGGTGATGATGGTGGTGATGGTGATGGTGGTGATGGTGATGGTGATGATGGTGGTGATGGTGATGATGGTGGTGATGGTGATGGTGAAGATGGTGCTGATGGTGGTGATGGTGATGATGGTGGTGATGGTGATGATGGTGGTGATGGTGACGATGGTGGTGATGGTGATGATGGTGGTGATGGTGATGGTGATGATGGTGGTGATGGTGATGATGGTGGTGATGGTGATGGTGATGATGGTGGTGATGGTGATGATGGTTGTGATGGTGAAGATGATGGTGGTGATGGTGATGATGGCAGTTGTGATATGATGAAAATGATGATGATGGTGGTGATGGTGATGGTGAAGATGATGGTGGTGATGGTGATGATGGTGGTGGTGGAGATGATAATACTGATGATGGTGGTGATGTGATGGTGAAGACATGTCTATGTTGACATGCGGTGATGTGATGATGGTGAGGAGGAGGATGGTGACATTGGTGAAGGTATTGATGAAATGGGAGCGTGAGAATAGCTGCCTTCTCTCTCTCTCTCTCTCTCTCTCACACACACACACACACACACACACACTCCTTATCAGTACCCCAGGTCTTCTCCAGTACCCTTGAGTTCCCGCTGGAGTCGGTTCACCATCGCCAACCAGGTGGTCCACATGGGGCTTGGGGGTGAAGCAGATCCTGAGACAAGCAGTCAGAGGTGTGTTAACTGACCCTAGGTAAGTTGTTTTCCATCTCGCAGTCTCTTTTTCTGTCTATAAAATGAAGGTTTAACCCTTTAGGGCTAAGACTAGCTTGTTCTAAAACTCTTGTTCTGGCAATCTCTCGCATCATGTCCACAGCCAACGTTGGTTGTAGCAGCAGGATTTGCTAATGGGAAGAATTCCAAATGCCATGACGGGCACAGCTGGGCACGTGTACATCAGAGTGCCGGACGGTGAGGTGCTGGCAGTGACTCTGCAACTCAGTAGGGCTCAGTGGCTCCACGTTGCCCACAGAATCAAGTCACAGCCTCAGCCCTGAGTGGATTCTCTCCATCATTTGTCCCTGCATCAGCCTTCTCCATATGGTTTATATTCTAGATTGGTGATTTCCAACCCACAGTGAGAAGTGCAATTTACATTATGATCTAGTATACACACACACACACACACACACACACACACACACACAAAGTAAAAACTTTCTGACCACTATATGCAATGCTCTTGGATAATTTCTATCCTCTGTTACTTCTATTTCATAATAAAAATCTGGTCACAACCTTCTAAATTGTTTTGTGGCTGGCTAATGGGTCTTGGATCGCCACCTGAGAAACATGAATCGAGAATTGCAGAGAACAATCTGGGTTGCTGTTAGAAAAGGGGTAACTGGGTGCCAGGCGTGGTGGCTCAGGCCTGTAATCCCAGCCCCTGGGGAGGCCGAGTTGGGCAGATCACTTGAGGTCAGGAGTTCAAGACCAGCTTGGCCAACATGGAAAAACCCCTGTCTCGGCTGAGCCCGATGGCTCACACCTGTAATCCCAGCATTTTGGGAGTCCGAGGCCAGTGGATCACGTGAGGTCAGGAATTTGAGACCAGCCTGACCAACACAGTGAAACCCCGTCTATACTAAAAATTCAAAAAAGTTAGCCTGGCATGGTGATGTGTGCCTGTAATCTCAGGTACTCAGGAGGCTGGCGCAAGAGAATTGCTTGAATCCAGAGGCGGAGGTTGCAGTGAGTTGAGATTGTGCCACTGCACTCCAGCCTGAGCGACAGAGCAGGACTCCATCTCAAAAACAAAAACAAAAACAAAACAAAAAACAAAGCAAAAAAACTCCACCCTGTCTCTACTAAAAATACAAAAAAAAAAAAAAAATTGCCAGGCATAGTGGCGTGTGCCTATAATCACAGCTACAGTGAGCAGAGATCACGCCACTGCACTCCAGCCTGGGCAATGGAGAGACTGTCTTAAAAAAGAAGTGGTAGGCCGGGCGCGGTGGCTCACGCCTGTAATCCGAGCACTTTGGGAGGCCGAGGCGGGTGGATCACAAGGTCAAGAGATCGAGACCATCCTGGTCAACAAGGTGAAATACTGTCTCTGCTAAAAATACAAAAAATTAGCTGGGCATGGTGGCGCATGCCTGTAATCCCAGCTACTCAGGAGGCTGAGGCAGGAGAATTGCCTGAACCCAGGAGGTGGAGGTTGTGGTGAGCCGAGATCGCGCCATTGCACTCCAGCCTGGGTAACAAGAGCGAAGCTCCATCTCAAAACAAAAAACTAAACAGAAGTGGTAACTGTTACTAAGTAGAAGTAAGTTATATTGGCTTCCAGGGGAGCTCGTTGCTATGTTCATGCTGCCCTGTCCCCAGCGCTGCTTTCTTGCATGAACACACACACACACACACAGTGCCCACACACGCCATTCCCTTTCATTCCCCCCCAAAAACTTTGAACTGATGGAATCTCCCTCTCCCTCTCCCTCTCCCTCTCCCTCTCCCTCTCCCTCTCCCTCTCCCTCTCCCTCTCCCTCTCCCTCTCCCCTCTCCCTCTCCCTCTCCCTCTCCCTCTCCCTCTCCCTCTCCCTCTCCCCTCTCCCCTCTCCCTCTCCCTCTCCCTCTCCCTCTCCCCTCTCCCTCTCCCTCTCCCTCTCCCTCTCCCTCTCCCTCTCCCTCTCCCTCTCCCTCTCCCTCTCCCTCTCCCTCTCCCTCTCCCTCTCCCTCTCCCTCTCCCTCTCCCCTCTCCCTCTCCCTCTCCCTCTCCCTCTCCCCCCCCCCTGCTTCACTCTGGCTCTTTCTGTCCCACCTCTCTGTCTCCCTCATATGTGTTTTGGGCACCAGAAGGCAAGCCTCTGTAGAGAATGGCTTAGCCTCTGTTGATTAAACCTGGGACATCCGTCCTATTGCCTGGGCATCTGCAATGCTGTCTGATGGAAATGTGTTATCTCTACCTTCTCCGGCCATCCTTCCCTGGACCTGTTTCTCCTGAGGAAAACAAATGGTCATTCCCGGTGGTCCTTGGGTATTTCTAGAGTCGTTGGCCAAATGCCACCCCCCCAAACCATCTCAAGCTCTACAGGTGTTAATTCACGGCCTGGGACGTGTGAGAACCCCCTGGTGGAGGGTAGCTCAGAGGACATGGTTGTTACTATTTCGTTTCAGCCAACGCTTGCCATATGGAAAGAGGGACCCGGCACCACCAGATGTTCCAAATTTCCAAGAGAAGGCAGAAATCTGGATATTTTTAAAAGCAAAATCCCTCAGCTTTTAAATGTTAAAACTAATTCAAATGAAAAAAAAAAGTGCTGTGTGGGCCAAATACAACCTGTCTGTGGGTCGGAGCTAGCTGGTTTGTTTCAGCCAGACTGCAGTAGCACAGGCATGAAAAGGGACGAGTGAAGAAAGAGGAGCAGCCACAGGGGTGGGAGGGAAGCTTGGGGCAGGCGGCAGTGGTACCGCCGCCTCCAGGAAGGCCTCCTGACCAGCTTCTACTGACAGAAGGCGAGGGCGGCTCCTGGCTGAAGGACTCCACCTGTGCTTCCCATGGCTTAAACTTTGGGAGACTCACCTGCTTAA